CCCGCGGGGCCCCCCCGGCCCGGCGCTTCACCGCTCCGCGCTAAGCGGGCCGCCGCAGCCCGGTACTGCGCCAGCCCCGCCGGGCAGGGTTCGGGTCATGAGCAAACAAACGCGGGGCGAATTCATCCGCTCGTCAGCTGATTCGGCCTTATTGCCGTGATCCCTCTCGAGCAAACCCTAAACGCGCCTCAGGCACGCCAAACGGGAGGCAAACGGAAAGGCCGACTCGTACACGCAGCATAAACCTGAAGTTTTTGGTTGCAAAGGCAAAATATTTTAGAAAAATCTGAGAAGCAATCAGCATAGACACCGCACTTGTTAAAAACATACTTGAATGGCTCACCTTTGGGTGTTCGTCCTATACAATGACAGTCTAACACGTATTTAGGATTCTCAACAAATCAAGGACATTACAGCTCAGTGAAATCAGTTGGAGAAAAACAGAAGTCCTGTATGTAAGACTATAAGTTGTCATAATCAACCAGGTGAACCGTATTTATTTTTATGCATTTCAAGAAAGACTTGCACGTAGGACAATATGCAGCTGTGCTCAGACTTGTTAGGTTTTAAAACAATGAACGCAGAACTTATTTCAGTTGATTTAAGTGATAACATTTGGGATTTGAAACCAGAAAACCAGTTAAGTATTTTTAGCAACTAAATGAAAACTAGACACAACATAGCAACTGGTGGCGCACTACTGCACTAGGAGAACTGAGAGTGACACATGGGGAAAGGACCACCTTGGTCCTGTTAACACTGGTTCTGCATCTCGCACTTCAGTTTGATTGTTAATGTTGAACTCTTAGTGATAAAAGCTTTTGAGAATTGGGAAAAAAAAACCAGTCTTTGTTCATATTTGCTTTAGGACTTATCTAAGCATATTTAAAATCACACTCACTTTTCAAGCTGGTCAGTTTGGCCACGGCCATTAACGTTGTTTGAGCTAAGATGAACATAATTAAGAAAAGGGCTTTGGAATCAAGATTTTTACACTTCCATCAGCTCAGAGTTGTTCAGTGGGAGCATAATCTCTGCAGAGAAATATTATCACTGGAAGGGCTCTGAGCGAGGGCAGAGGTTGGTGTTGGCAAAGCGGCTTAAACTGCCCTTTCGTCCTTCTATGCTACAGCAGACGCAGGGCAGGGAGAGGGAGATCACCAATTTTCTTAGATTCCTGTTATACCTGGAAAAAAACTGTGACTTAAGGATTGAGTTTCATCCTTAACTGAGTTTCCAGGCCTTTTATTTATTTATTTTTAATCAGTTCAGGCTGTTCCTTTTCCATTGTATTACAATGACAAATAAAAAGCAGCTTGAATAAGAACAAAAAGAGTATTACTACTTAACTTTTCAATAATATATGAAATAAAATACAAATCGACTTCAAAGGCCACTTAGCAAATATTTGATGAGTTTGAGATATTAAAAATCTATTTGAGTAAGTCTAATGGCCAGCCCAGCTAAAAAGAAAACAAGACCATTCAGAGCAAGCAGGAAATGAAGTCAACTCGAGTTTTAAAATAAATCTGGCTCAAAAATTAAGCAAATGTTAAAATAAAACCATGTCTGGTTATGCTAATTACATAAAAAGGAGTTAAATTACTCATTTCCTAGCTCCTTCTGCCAAGATCATCTTCTTCAAGGGAAATTCAATTTCTTTTTTTTTTTTTTTCTCTCTGCTTTTTGCCTAAAGAACAAAAATGTTTTGTATCAAGATCTCCCCCTCCCTCGACAAGGACGTTTCATTTAGTGCTGAATCTCAACAACCATTTATTGACCAAAAAACCCTACGAGCATGTCAAACAAAAACAGGCAAACACCCTTATCAATGTTGACATTTCTCACTATGTCAGCCAATACTCATTATTTTCTTAAATTTGTCAGAGGTCCTCCAAAGTAAAGTAGTACTTAATTCCTGAAGAAAGTCTAGATTTTATGGTTCAGGTTGTGTATCAAATTCTCTGCTCTCCCACATTTACTGTTTCAAGAAAAACAAAGAGTAAATAAGTACAGTCTGAAGTTAATTGATTATCGAATACTGTAAGAATTACACCTCATCCTTGGGGGGCATTACTGAAACGCAGTCATCCCTAATAAACCACTCGGTTTCCACTGCAGCCAGATGTGCCAACCTCTGCTCTGTGCTTATTTCAGGACTCCATCCTAAGTCCTGCTGAGTTCCTGCGATTGCAGATGATGTCAAAGGGCACTCTTTGGGGACTGGGCAAGGCCACGACAGGATGCCTTCTGTTGGAGCCAATTATTCTGATGTAACAAAATTAAAGGTAATCCAAGAGATTCTTTAGCTGACTCACTTTTCAAGCCAAAACTGATCTGCAAGCTTGTTTCACCCAGTGAGGATGAAATATAAAAGCAAATCTTTTTTCCTTTTCCTAGTCTCAGTTTATTTCTAACAGACAGCAAACATCCTTCAATCAAAACTGCAGATCGATCATCAGATGATAAATCAAGTGTCTAGTACATTGAAGTTACACAACTACATTAAACTACAGCAGACCAAGGAATCTTGATTCATTTTGGAGAGTAACTTTCCACTGTCACCTATTTTAATCAAAACTGAGTTGATAAAATATTTATCATAGCTTAGTTTAAAAGAGAAACAGAGATTTTTTGAACGTACATTTTGGCACTATCTGCATCTGACCGTATCTGGCTTAGCAGTATCGGAAGGTTCCACAAGTCAGATAGAGAACAATTTTGTCTCGGTAATTTCAGTCACTCACTTTACCCCATGTCATTAAGACCTAGAAAAAAAAGTTTTCCTTTGTATGACTAAATTTCAGTCTACCCCAGAACACCGGGAAATTTTCCCTTTAACATTCTTTAAATATTAAATATGAGGCAGTATTAAAAGAAAATTCTAAAGTATTTACGCATCGCTTCCTTCATTACTAAAAGGAACTGTGAACTTGTAGAGAAACCTAAAGTTGGGTGTGCGTTTGGAAAGTACCCCCTTCCCCAAAAGGCCCCAGACACATGCAGCTTATAGAAAGTAACCAGTTCTTTTTGATGTTTACTGCAGTGGTTCTGAAATTAATATAAATGGATGTGTGACGTGCAAATAGGAGAGCCTGGAACTAATTCTGTTTTATAGAACACAAACCCTTCAGCAATTGGGGTACCTAATTATTTTGATGATAGGTGAAATTTTGCCTTGATCACGCAGTACCCAGCTGTGAATCTGTTTTATAACAGAAAATTTCACAGCATGTAACTGGTCTTTAAAATTACACTGTAAACATGCAAACACATGGCACCACTAAAATAAGTATGTTTTGAAAAGCTCTTTTTCCTTGAAACATTTTTGAGAAGGGAGGAATGAAAAGGAATAAAAAGGGAAGTGAGCAGTGCTACAAATAGATTTAGTTTACTGTATAATGCTTTTAACATATTTCTCATCTACAAAAAGCTCGACTGCAGCTTTTCAGAACAGTTCACGTTTTTAAAGAAACTGAGAGATGGACTGAATTATTTCACTCTTCTTGGGGATCAGTCTTAAAGTTGTTTCCTCTTCATTATTACTTACACTACAGCTGTGCTCAAACTCCTTTTCATTTAGAAAAAAAAGTTTAAATTTTGAGCCTGCGCACACTATGGTTCCACATTCCAACAGCTTCCTCCCAGTCCTCTGCCAGCATCTGCTATTGAAGACTAGTTCCAATTTACAATAAACAGCTTTTCCAGACCAGAACACTTGAAATTCAGTCTTTCTTGACTGCTTTTCCCATTCAATCTCCCTATTCACCATTTCAAGGAGAAAACTGTTCTGCCAATTATTACACATCTGGAAAAAATGCATGTATAAGCTGAAATGCTCTCAGCAGAAAGTTTCAGCTTTCTGCATATGGTCACAGCAGGATTTTATGGGCCACTGACCAGGCCAAAGTCTAAGTTTTCCCATCTTTCTCCTCCCCCTCCTTTCTGCCCACCCCCACCCCAGCTCTCTAATTGGAAACCCATAGCAGGTGCAAGTTGTCTGCCATCTTTTCCTCCACAAGACTCTTGAGTAGTTTCTTCTCGGTAAATATTCATCTTACAGTCCAGTTTTGACTCACTAGGTTCTATGATAATTTAAATGTCTCAGCTGTAATTGCTTTGCATAAATACACACGTTTAAAAATATCGTTACCATTGACGCTTGTCTGTTGGTTGTTACAAGGCTAGATGCTCCATAATTTGAATTCAGGCTTCCAATTGGCCCATTGTGGGATGGTCCCAATAAACTATGGATATCTCCATGGCCACCTGACAGGCTTGTTGAAGGCCCGACGGCGTGATTTCGTAGTACATGAATGGCATCATCGAGTCTGTCCAAGCGATCCTCCATTCGAGACTGCTGTTGGGATTTAAGAGGGACAGTAACAGTCACTACTGAATAGATCTGCAGACTCGTTATACCGTAACAGTTTCTACCTCGAAGATATCAAAGATAGAAGATGAAATGCAGTATCAAAAGACTTTGAAAGCACCTACCAGCACTACGAACAAACAGGAAAAAGAAAAGATATCTGGAGATTTTGCTTGAGATAGCATTCATTCCACAAATAGGTGGCAGCTTTTAAAGTGAAGCTTATTACAAGGTTAATGTTACTCAGCTTCTATTACACAGCATGAACAAGAAAAAATGGAAGTGCTACAAAATAAGCTATCTAATACAGGACAAGAAAGAATGATCACAAAATCAGCCTCACCACGTTGGTAACAATTAAGAGAGGCAGTGGCTTTTTGAGAACCTGTATTACAAAAAAACTGGACAAAACTAAGTTATCATTTTCTAAAATGGATAAATGGATCTTTAAACAGATTACATATTTCAGAAATAAAAGCGAGTTCTGTATGTTACTGTAGAAAAGCCTGTCTTAAAATTACTTTCCTTTAAAAAAAAGATCAAAAAAACCCCAAAGCAAAACCAATTCTGACACTGCAGCTCTCTAGAAACTGAAATAGCAGAATGTTGGAGTCAAAAGATAGGTCATCCGCTACACTAATTTAAGTTTTTAATGGGGAATCCGAGGGAAGCATTAATTGAAACACAAAAAGGCACCATCTAAAGTGAAATAGTACCTCACAGACATCCTTTAAGAAGGACATTGCATCTTGCAAATGCTCGTGAAGTTGCTGTTCAACTCGATTTTTCTGGCAAAGTCAAGACAGAACAGGAAGCAAAGCACAGGTTAAGATTAATTCAAAAAAGAGGTGAGGAAACAGCTGATGTGCATGTCAGCAATAAATTGTTAGTCAAGTTAATGCAACAGAGATCTGATTATATTAAGATAAGAAAAGGCTAATATTTAACACTGCAGTTATGTTAGGATTCTAAGATGTACGTATCAATTATATTTAATTGCAAAAATTCTGAAGAACAGAAAACTGATTTAGCTTAAATTTATTCTTGTTAGACAGAAAAAAAAAGAAATTACATCTGTGGAAACTAAAAATATTAACAGGTTATCAAAACCTTCCCTCAAATTTTTCCCCTTTCCTTCCCGATGCTGTATCAGAAATTTAAGAAAGAAGTCAGTAACTTAAATCCTCTGCTGAGTGTTCAAAAGAAGAAAATTTACAATGCTGTAGATTATTTTCTGTGTGTTTTTCTGTAAAATGCGTCATTAATTAATAAATGAACATTCCCCAATAACAAATAATAATTACAAATAAAATATATTAATACGTTAATGACAGCGTAATGAAAACAAGCCCAAGAGAGTACCATTTCAGGGAGGGGGCGGGAAGGACAAGTAAATGCGAAGGCATGAAGTCTTTATCTTTTCTCCAGACTGAACTTCAGATAAGAATTAGCTATGGATTTGTGAAAAGGTACCAGAATCTCATAACAGCGCTTTAGCACCAGCTGTCCTCAGCACAGAAGCCTGATGCCCAGGGAACAGATGGTGAAAGACACACCCTGCACGTCTTATATTGTTCAACTGAACAGGCCATTTGTTAGCAAAGAATTCATTTGTAATGCTATCCTACTGTTTCCTTTAATGATATGCAGGATTGATACAAAACCAAGCCTCCAGCTCTTCAGTAGAAAGTACGACTTTGCTTTCAGCAATTCTTACCAAGGAGTGTAGAGAGTTTTCGTAGTTTGGAGATGAGGGGGCTTGTCCTCCACTCCTAGACCACTGACTGGCACCTGTCAAAATTGTCGAGGTTAATGCACAGATTTATGCAGCAGAAGTGGGAAGCAGAGACACAGTATTTCTCAACGTAATTAAAACCAACGCATTCTGCATAAAGGTAAGCTGACATATGGGTACACAAAGGAAGACAAATTCCTTCATTCTGCTTTATAGAGGGATAATTTTTATATCCTGGCATCTGGAGGGTTATCCACGTTATCGATGACAAAGCAGTGACATCTTCAAAGTACTGCAACATTAAAAAGTGGACTAAACACACACACTGCATCTGAAATACGTGCCTTCTGCCAGTGTCACCACAAAAAGATTGCTGAATTCTTTCTTCTTCAGATTACGTTCAGTACATGTAGGCATATCTTTAATAGTGTTAAGACATATGACAAAAACATTTAAAGAAATCAAGCAGACACTGAATTAAGGATAACTGGAAAACCATTTTATGACATCTGTCTACTAAATAAGAAAACTTAAAGAAAACCTTTATCTTGTCTAGTTCTACACTATACCATTTTAGATTAATAATGCATTCAAAGTTCAGAAGAGCAAAAAACACACCTAAGTTATTCCCATTTCTTATTTCAGACATATTTAAGGTAAATTGGCAACTGAAACATCATTGACTGTGCAACAAATCGACAATTATAGCTGGGTTAACCAAACACTGCAAATTCAAATACATATCCATTCTAATCTGACATAAGTATACCTAATTACCATGTAAAATTTTGAAATAATTAGACGTGAAATGCAATAACTAATAAAGCAGTACTTTTAAAACAAAGCCTGAAGTAGTACAACATGTTTTTTTCTCACCAACTAATAATGCATCTTTTATAAAGATACTACATGAAATTCTATGTCCATTAGAGACAGCTTCCTTTCAGCCATACAAATGTAATAATAAAGCAATTACATTAATAAATTATGGACATACAATCCAAAGCAGCTCATTAAAGGAAGAGCCTGTGGGCTTGTTCTTTCAATAACAGCCAGAGCTGTACGTCTGGAAAACTGGGAAAAGGTTTAATAACATTACAGTTCCTTTGTTCAGAGAGCTGCAAGTAGTTACCTTTTAAAGAAAGGGGTTTATTTAACGAAAAGAGTACAGCTTGCATAGCTATTAAAATACCTAAATATTTCCTTTCTAATTAAGAAAAAATAAACCATCTCCAATTTCATAAAAGCCCAGAGCTGCCATAACCGTGCTGGAATTCTCTTTTAAAACGTAACGACATCAGTGAGTAAGTTTATAATTACCAGTTTTCACTTCACATAGCTACTCTGGGTCAGGATTTGTAGTCTCCCTCCACATTATTGTCATTTCTGAACTTGGGAATAATGCTTGGAGTCCCACTTATTTTTACAAAGCATTAATGAAACAAGTTTTGGCGCAGTGTAATGTTCAAATTTTTTTCTGGTCAAAACTCCATTTCTAGAAACAAGACCATAGTCAGGGCTTTAACGAGCACTCACTACTAACAGGATTGAGTGTACTACTTCCTACAATGAAGTGCCAGCTGAATATTAAGCAGAAAGGCAACCAGTTAAGAACCCCAAGCAAATAGACTCGATGCCTGTGCATCTAGTCTGATGAGTTTGTTGTGGTTTTTTGTTGTGTTGTGTTTTGGTGTGGGTTTTTTTGGTTTTTTTTTTTAAATGGAAAAAGGTACTATTCCCTTAATGTAAGCCCAGAGCAAAACTCTGATCGGGACTTCTCACAAAAGCAGCAATAAGAAAAGAAGGTAGGGAATACTCAACTCCTCCTCTCAAATGAACAACCCAACTGCAACCCGCAGTTTTTAATCACACCTCTAGTAATGCTAGTGCTCTTTCTGAGCAGTGGCGTACTGCGACTCCATGTCTGCGCAGGTTGCCAGATGGCACTGATTTCCTGCTTTCCTCATTCCACTCCCCCTCCTAGAAGTTTGTGCATGAAATCCACCAATTATGTTAAAAAGCATCCTGGCACCACAAGCCCTGCAATTAACAACTGCAGCTTTTAGTGCAGCACCAACACAGCAGCATGAAAAACAAATAAGCCAGGCAAGTGTTAGGATTTACAGGGGTCACCGACAGTAATCACTGTAGTATTGTTCTTGCTCTCAGAGTCTCCCCAACACTAATCCCCTGGCTCCCCTCTCAAATACACGCTCGACTCTCGGCAGAGGGCTGGGTTTGCATCCTCAGAACTGACCGAGCCCTTCTGAATACCTCTGATCCTGGGGGAAGGATTCTTAAAATACCGAGGCTCCCACCATTCAGATTCGTACATAAACTTCACATACGCACACGCAATCATTAAAGCTGTGCGGGAAGCTAAGCTCTGGGCGTGTTTATGTAAAATCAGAAATTAAATGAGGGCAGGGCAGAGGAGACACACACTATTGTCTCATAATACTTGGGGGTTTTCATCATGTTGTTCTCAAGGCTTTTACTTAAATTAATAAAGAACGTTGTTAGTCCTTATTCAGTAACAACAGCCAGCTAGTCAAACGTGAGCTCATGTGCTTAAGTGTCTCAGGAAGCTACTATCTCTCAGTGCTTTAAATGGCAGATAGAGAGCTCCTACTGTCATTTACAATTGAAGGATAGTAAATTATGACGTAGTCAAATCTGTAATAATAAGAGTGCTAAATAAACAAAGAACTAACTGCAAAGAAGCAAAATCATGATGAAGGCTAAAATGCTGCAAAATATATTATTTGAGTATATATAAACCATTTGTTTTATCTGCAATAACTTTTTGGGTCAGGACAGAAAATGGCTACCAGGAGTATAAATAGCAATAAATACAGTAGTAATTACTTTACATTGTGCTTCACTGTGTTCTTAGTGACTCATCTGGGAATAAAGATAAAAGTCCAGATTCATAAATGAAGGTAATTAACTACTGGAGCAATTTACCACAGGCTTGATAAATTCTGTATTACTGGAATTAAAGGGGGTGGGTGGGAGCATATAATTGTAAAGCAGATGCTAAGTTTGTGCCTGAGAAAGACTTCAGTGTTATTTGCTTGTATCTACTACTGTCTTAGCCATCGGAATCCAGAATAAGGAACACAAATCAAAGTGTAAATTTTGGAGAATTTTACATTTGATACAGGTTCAAACAGACAAAGGCATCAACAGCAATGGGAAAACCCGAATTTGAGAGACCTAAAATTTGTATTCTAAACCCAGAAATTAGCTAGTGCTTTCATGCGTGCAAAATTAGGCGTGTATCTAATCAGAGAACTCCAACTGGGATCTCCAAAATTTTATATACTTTGAAATGTCAGAACTTCTTTCTTTGAGCCATAGAGCTCTTGTCAATATTTGCTTTGATGTTAAAAAGAAAATAATAATAATTTTCTGCTCTGATCTACCTTTTCAGTACAATAAGGATATACAAAACATTTTTTGTCAATTGTAATCACTAAATAATAAAAAAAAAAAAATCACATTAATCTTCTTGTTACTCAATTCAACATGGTCTTTCAGTTACAGAAACAAAATGCCCAAAGCAGCTGCTTTGGTATGCCCTGTCAGATATTCCTTAATCCATTAAGTTCACAGAAAAGCAGAACAGTGTCCATTAAACATGAGTGTAGTATGAATGATGAAAGTTTTCTGAGTGACACTGCATATACAGATATGCATGTTCACATGTATGTGTATACAACTGCATTTCGCATGCAATAACTTTACTAATTTATCCATGTAGACGATGAAAGCGTTCAGCTAAGATCATTCTGTACACCTTTCACTGTAAGTTGTGGTGGTTTTTTTTGTTGTTTTTTGTTTTTTTTTTAATAAAATGCAAAACACTTACAAAAGAGTGACCAACAGCCAGAAGCCTGCAGGGATATATTAAACAACAGAAAACGGGAAAACAGACTGTTGTATAAACGTTAAATAACTTAACAAATCACACTACAGGAAAGAACAGGGTTAAAGTTACATCATCTTGCTTGTAATTCTAGTTCTTTGTTAAACAACAAATTTAAGTCAATGGAGCTTTCAGAGTCCTCTCTATATGGAGAACAGCTGTTCAACTTTTACTAGACAGCTGAGGCCACAGTGTCTGTGAAAGCTGCACTACCCACTAATAGCTGTAGGCAGCTGCCCACAGTTCATCTCCACACTGGAATGCTTCTTCCCACATTCACACTACAAACACACAAAGCACAGGTGACAGAGGTGGCTGCAATACAGAGCATTTATTTTGAAAAATGCCAGAAATTCTTCTCCCATAGAATGAAAGCATTCATGGATGATACGAATGAAAAGCTATCCTGTGTATAAACCGGATAGTCTCATAGCCTACTGTATTTTTCTTAGAGGGAACGCACATCTGCTGTGTTTGTCACTGAAAGCTGCCGTAGAGTTTTAACATGTAGCTTTAAGAAAACCCCAAACCAAATCACTTATTTCTCTCCACTGGTACAGATCTGTACAGATATCTGTATAGCTGTGAGAATATATGGTCATTCAATGTTTAATATGCTAATTTTCAAAGCCAGTTGCCAGGATTTAAGTGAATGCTCATAACAAAACATTTAAGAACTCGGATTTATAAATCTGGGTTTAGTACAATGGAAAAATAAACAAAATATAGAAGTAATTATGCAAGGGAGCTACTGTTGATTTCACTGTGATTCCAAACAGGACGCTTTCAAACAACAAACAAGTTATTGACAAATGGCTAGTCTCTACCTGTAAGAGGCGATGGTGATCCAACTGGTGTTGATGGATTTGATGGAAAACTACTGCTGGTATGATCAGGAGAATAAATCTGACAACAGACGAAAGAGATTGTATATCAATACATGTCATAATACACAGTAAAAAAATAGCTACTAGGATTCCTTCTCATGCTTTTAATTGTCACTCTTGATGCTGGATTGATAAAAGAAACCTAATTTGATCCTTCACTCACAGCTCTGCTTTATTACACTCAAGGCTCTAAAATGTCTAGAGAACTTTCATTTCCAAGCAGCTGTCAAAATAAGCTGTATTTGATAGTGACACAAGTATAACTGATCGTCCTTCTACTCTAACAGCAGCAGAAACGACAGCTTTTTTATCATCGAAGGGGAACAATACACATAAGAGTTAACAGTACACAGATAATTATAACAAACAAAACTTAAGGAAAATGCAGAGGAATAATGACTTCCCAGTCTTGAGAGAGAGAAAATATTTTAGCAGTCAACACATGTTATCTTCTAAAAATTAATTCTTCTCAAGAGAAAAATACCAAGAAAGCATTCAGCTCTAGTTAACCTACCAAACAAAAACCATTGGAAATTTTGTAGCTCTTGCTATGTATTGCAGCATATTCGATTTTTCTCTCTTATTTCTGTATCAATTGCTTCCTTAAGATACTAAACTTCAACTTGCAACAATTCATTCCTTGCTATCAATGTAATTAAAAAGTCTCGATAAAAACAGAAGACGTAATGCTTAAGGCTTTATTTAAAACTTAAAATTTCACAATTCTTGGAAAATTCATTTTGTGAAGGGAATTGAATAGGTTTAGAGGCTATGGACTTTAGAACATATTTTTATAGGTCATCAGTTTAAACCTGTTTTACTTGAGCAGAGACTGGGATTTGTTAGTCATCAGATGGTAGTTAAAAAAAAAAATCTCCAATGGCAATGTGGTTGATGTCTCTTTGCACAGACAATATGACATTTCAGCATTTAGCTGACAATAAACTAGGACTTGGTTAAGTTGCATATTGTATTTTTTGAACTGACAAAACGAGGACATGATACATGCTCCTTCCTGGTCTGTCATACTACTTCATTAGAAAAGACCATCAGTTCCCTAATGGAAAGGCCTCTCCTTTTCATACATGCTAGAAAGAAAATATATTTAAAAGAACAAGCTACCTCAGACCATTGTAGGAAATTAATGCATTGTACCTCACTTGGGTGTCAGTATGGGAACTGTAGAGAGTTCCAGACAGATAAGATATAGAAAATTAAAATGACATCAGAAGAAAGGCCTCGAAGTTTCCTTTGAAACTGGTTGTCTCCCACCACTCTACCTGCCGATTTTATTTTGCTCTATTTTCTAAGAGGGAAAACCTGCATTATGCCAAAGCCACAACTAAAACACGAGGTCAGAATTCATTCTGCACGAAGTCTCTGGCCACTGTGCTGTTAAATGACCAATGATGAACAACCCTGACACCTTCTGCCAGGCTTAAACGGTAACATGACTCATTTTACTGCAACAAATGAGACTCCTCCTCCTATCAGTCATGGTCCATTCCAATCAGCGGGGTGCCAATATGCCAGGGTCTAATGAAAAGGCTCTTAAACAAAAGCTGCACAATTGAGAGCCTGCAGAGCCAAACCTCAGAGCTGTTAGTCCAATTTTTTAAACACTACAGTGTACATTTCAGTTAGGCTTTGTTATGTTAATGTTATTGAGTCTAAAGCAACAAAGAAACTTAATTCATGAATTACTTTTAGAAGTCAACTTTCCTACATTTTCTTTTCTTTTGTGATGGGACCAGTGGCTATTTAACTACCCAGACAGTACAAAGGCCTTTACCCTAGTTCTGAGGTAGGAATCAAAACATAAGTTATCACAAAGAGGTCTGATATAATCAACAAAGTTAAACAGTCCTCCTGTTTGATCTCCTCTAAATTAAAGACCAAGTGTTTTGATTTGGCATTAGGCAATGAAATAAACCAGATGTTTCTCCTGCCATATAACCCTCCATGGGCACAATCTTAAAGGGTTATTGTTTGGCAAACGTTCAGGGAAACACATTAGAAATGGCACGAATACCCAGATTTTCTTTTCTTTCTATCTATACTAGTTCATTATCCAAACTAATGCATAATCCACAGGGCTTTGGGAACTTTGTGTAAATACTTTCATGTACAATTCTCTTTCTTGCCTACCCTGAGATTAAGACCACAATTATCCAGGCTTAAACCTAAAATAAAAGAACCTTTGCAAATGTATTATCTGGCCTTACATGTTTAATCACATACTATTCTGTATGGTCTTTAATACCTAAACTGAAGAACAAATGTCGTATCCTCTGATGTTTCACACATGAAAGGCCTATTGTGAGATGTACATCAACAGAATTTTAGAACTAGAAATTCCTCTCGACAGCGGCAGCCGTAGCATTTACAATCCTAACCAGAAAGGCATATAGTGTCATCTTGGGGTGGGTGTGAGGCAGAAAGGAAGTCAAGACGATCGCAGTATTTAAATAAAACTTTGTTCAAACAGAAGAATATTCTTGGTTTACTAGCCATCAAAATTAACGTGTGCAAGCTTCACCTGCAGGAGAGACCACCTCCCTCCGTGAGCAGTACTCCTTGCCGAACAAGCGCAAGAAGTGTGCTGGGTGCGCGCGTGTTGCGGGGTGCGGGGGAAGCAGATGGATGAGGCGAGGGATTTGAAGTGTGCAGACTATGGCATGCACTGATAGAGCAGATGGAATGCATCACCATCAGCTATGACAGAAATGATTTATGGAATGACCTGGCTGCTCCTGCCAAGCAACAACACGGGATGACAGAAACAAGTTTCTATGACAACCAGAGCCCACCCACCAGTTAGATTAAACATTTCTGCCCTGACTTCCACTCGCAATATATTTAAGAGTTTTTTCTTAAAACATCAGCCTGGTTTTCTCGGCTAGTGACTTGGGCAAAAATACCTGAAAGGACGAGAAAAAAATATCTAAAAAAGGACAGAAGGGGAAAACGTCGCAAAATCCCGTGGGTTTAACTGGCCAGTGTGTCAGACTTCACAACACAACTTTTGGTCAGGCTGCAGAACAGCAGACATCCCAATACATCTGCAGAGTAATGAACAGCCTGCAGTATGTAAGCACTGCTATTTCTAGCAGTCAGAAAGATTCCAGTTCTTTTCTGACAGGTCTCAAACAGACAAAAAAAAAAAAGAGTGTTAACTGCCCTCTGGACTCTTGAATTGTTATCTACTTGCTGAATCCCCCAAAGCAACAGGGACAACATTTTTCTCCTCAAAGCCAGTAGGTCAGAGTTCTCCTACCCAATATGGACATTACAGACATTATCAGATCTGCTAATCTTTTAACATATGACCCTCCAGGGGATGCAAGGGTAACAGGATCTGCACGAATATGCACACTTGCATTCACTGATATGAGGCGAGGGATGCAGAATCCAACCCAAGAACGGTCTTTTGGAGCTGCAAAGTCGTAATTTCTATCTTTTAAATCAGACTTAGTCTCCCTATTTGCTATGTACAAGAACTAAAAAGTGGTACCCCAGCCACCGCTCCTAACTCTGAAATTTCTACTATACTGTATCAATTACTGTTTTATAAAAGTATATCTGATCGTATTAATGCAAACAATAATTGCTGTATGCGTGCATATGTAAATAGAGCTTTTAGCAGACTAAAGATACTTGCAATGTTTTATATTATCTACATTATTCCAACAAGAGTTAAGAGTTTAAACTTTATGCATATACAGCATTTCAAAGGCTGTTCCACAAATTACAGCTATACAACACAGCATTCAAAACCTCTGTTTTAAAAGGCCACTGAGAAAACATTTTAAACCTTGAGGCAGGATCTGCTCTAAGAGTAATGTTAAAAATATTTTACTTTAACTAGAACACCATAGGAAAAGAGGCGGGGTGGGATAAATGCCTAAACTTTTTATTACCATCTTTTACTTTGTCTAAACAACTTTCTAAACTGTATCTACCCTAAATTTTCCCATCATCTGAAAAAAAAAAGGTAGTCAGAATGAGTCTTCTACAAATAAAAGCATTTTCCACTTGCTTTTTTATAGACATTTTTCTAGTATATGACATTGTATCATAGCACATTATTTTAACTTCATACATGAAAACTCCTGATTTGATATTATAAAATGAATGAACACATAAATAATGGATGCAGTGATCAAAATAAGTCTTTTAGATTTGAATATTCCAACTGCTACTTACAGATGCCAATGCCTTTCCAAGTGCATCACCTGTCTGTGAGCTTCCAGCACCATTTCCTCTGTTTCCTGTAATGTGGAAAGCAAACCCAACACTTCTTTTTAAAGCTGAAATTTTATTTACTTTATTTTATTCATCACATATAGTTGGGCAAACACTTTTAAAATGGATATTCTGAGGAAGTCAGTGTCAACAGAATCAGTTCTCATTATACTTAAAAATTTAATTAAAACAATTAGATTTAAATTTAGATGCTCTCCTCTTTAAAGTCAAACACAGTATCATTGTGATAATTTAAGGACCAACAAGTGAAAGTAGTTAGAAAAAAGACTGAAATTATTTTCTAGGGTCACAGGATAATTTTAATTAATGTGAAAAGAAAATAAAAATCAGAAAATTGTATTATTGCAGCTTATTTCTAAACGGTTATCACTAAAGTGCTGCACGTTTCATTAATTCCTAAAGTCAAATTCACTAAATAGTTTCTTGTGTGTCTCCTTGCTCCCTCTGCTCTAATTCCCTGTGTTGTGCTCTCATCTTTATTTTAGAAAATCCCTGAAAAGCTCTTATCCACCAAGCTTTCTGTCACCCCTGCTCTTAGTTGCATGTCAGCAGCTTTGCGTGCCCTTTTGCTCCACACACCATCAAGCCAAGAGGTCTGAAGCCCTGCCAATTGGAAACAGAAAGGACCTGCATCCTCTGGAATATCTGCTTTACTGTAGAAGATAGACCCTTTAAAAGTGAATCTCCAACTTCTAATGCCAAAAAATTGTATGCCATGTGAATGTAAGCCATTCACGTCGGAAATTCAAGTAATGAAACACTGGCTGTTTCAAGTTTGTGGAAAACTTGGATTTTCAAGCCTGCGTTTCCCATGCAGATTCATTAACTGGGTTCTGTTTAAAGTTCTGAGTGCAAAACATGTTCCCAAATCAAAGCCAGTAGAGTCACTCTAACTAAATTCCACTTACTTAAAATGAAGTTAAGTGCAAATCATATCAAACTGACAAGGGGCGTCTACAAGCATTTAATTTCTACAGCTGTGTCTTAAGATGTGCAAATATATGCAAGGAACAGATGATCATCCTGTATTTCATGCTTTCTAGGTAAGCACAGAAGAGACTAAACCAGCCACCACACTGGCTACTCAGTAATCTCTAAATCAGTTAAGAGAGGAATTTACGATGCAGTTTATCAAGCTCCCCAAGGAAACAGTCTCCCTGCCTCTCTCCTGCACAGTACCTTGGTGATACAGCAGCTCTGCAAACTGCAACACCAGAACTACCTACATATACTAAACTATGGAGGGATAACTGCCATTAAGTCAGATGGATACAATCTTCTGAGCATGGGCTTGGCTGTGAAAGCAAATAAACCAGTAAGCCTTAAGCTGACTGCAAAACTGTTTGCCTCATCTCAGCCATTCTGAGGACAGAAATGTTGCAGTGGTGTGGTATACCTGGTCTCCAAGCATCCCATAAATTAAATCTTACTGATTTTCTGCATCATGCAGCCCAAAAGTTCATTTTCTTGTAAAATTAAAAAACAAAGCAGGAAGAACTTTTTACCCAGTATATTATCTGATCCATTGACAGGTGGAGTGTGTGAGGCACCTACGTAAGGTGAACTGCTGGTACTGCCACGATGGAAGCTAGACATTGGAGGAAGACTGGCGTTTATATCTGTAGGTGAGACTGAATGTGGGGGATAGCTCTAGAGAGAAGAGAAACAGACATAAGACATTAAGTAGTCTTTAAATAAATGTTGATGTTTTAAGATACCAAATAGGCAACACCCAGGTCTTCATTAAAGGAAGGGATTCATCCATCCTCTGAACAGACCACTAAACAGCCACAGATTTTTATTTATACAACAGACATAAATAAAAGGACATAAACCTACTACAGTAAGTTTGTGATATCTGACAACTGGGTTTCTAACTGACACACACAAGCAGCAAACAAGAAATGAATTCTTTTAAGTCAGATGTCCATATACAAGTACATATACATTAAGCTGTGCTGCATATCTTACCAAACGGTCATGTGCGTGCAGGCTGCCGTAACTGCTGGACTGGGACATGTGGGAAGAGGAGCCTCCCAACATCCCACCATAGCCAGGCTGGCTCATGCCGTTGGATGAACTCCAGAGGTCAGAAGAATTGTGGGTCCCATCTTTTTTTTTTTTTTTTTTAATAAAAAAGAAAAGATGAAAAATACGTTTCATGAGGAATACCAAGTTCTACTTTTCTTTACAAAATTATTTTAAAAGAAAACAATTCAGGTACTCAGACTAACATCAACAGGGAAACGGTGACCAGTTTATACTGCATCTTCTATTTTCATGACACCACTATATTTATAAAAAAAGCCAAAAACTCAACAGAGGCTTTATAGCTGAAATACAATCCAACCACAGCTGAGAAAATACCAAGCACTTCTGCTAATTACACAGACCTTCAGTAAGGCCAGATTTGTACCAAGAGGGTTGATAAAAATTCCAGACTGAAAGAAATATTAAAAAAAGGGGGTGGAGGGGAGAGAAGTTTGGCTAAGCAGAGCTCATCATAAACATACAGTGCAAAACATCTATTAACCTAAAATAAGCAATTTATAGCCTAAAATACCTTAGTACCATAAAAATATAAAAACATTTCATAATAGCAGATTTAAGTGACTGAAACGACTACATTACATAAGCCTTAAACCCGTGTGTCAATGCAGTTTTCCTTCTGTAGCATAAACTGAAGTGCTCTGCAAGTTCCCATATTGAGAGACGACTATGCTTTCAATATGCTCCAAAACCTCATCAGGCTACAGTACGAGCTAATTGTATGACATGAGGCTGAGGAAATTAATTCTGCTCTTGTTTTCTTACCCCCTCCCCCCCCCCCCCCTTTTTTTGGCATGCTGTATATACCAGCATTTGAGAACTTAAGTCTGTTAGCTGATATTGTACAGTCAAGTTCCAGAACAGCCAAGAAGCCCTCACCTCATTTTTCTCTATCACTCCACTGTGCTGCTCTGAAGCCCCTACAAATCAAAGGATGGGGGATTCTGTCCATCTGGCCTGGTGTGTAATCCCCTTAAATTTCAGTCAGCAATTAACGTCATGAGAAAAACTTTAAATCTACAGACAGCTCCCTTCATCTAACTGTTTAAAAAGTATGTAAAACTTAATCATAGGCTCTAGCACAACACACTAACTTTATGCTTCCTCTTTCTTTGAGCACAACAGTGGCTGACTGCACGTTTCTGCCTAAAGGACAAGTGACACCTGCCCATACAGTTAAAGTCACTTTACCCACCTTGCATAAAGAAAGTGCTAGCAAACATACTGCTTGGTGGCTTAGGAGACGGGTAACTTGGAGATTCTCTGTTGAAATCATCAGAACTCGGGGATGGTGCATACACCTAAATATTGGAGAGCAATAAAAGCAGGTTAGTAATACTTGGGTGTCGTGCATTAAAAAACCCGTAACACCAAACAGACACAGTCAGAAAGCACAAATAAAAAAAGAACAGTGTAGCAAGCTGCAGCATTTGTTGCCCTTGTTTTATTTGCTTTTTAGCAAGTTGCCACAGTACAGAGGAACTACAGTAGAGTGATCCTAACAACACACTTTCTGGTGTGCCAACTCAGCCAGGTGGCCTGATAAAAGCTTGAATGCTGATTTTGCTCCCTAAGTGCATGACTCGCACAGACTTGTTGCTTGAGATAAAAAAAGGCAAGATAAAACAACTGGGCCCCAAACAAATTTTATTTTAAAACAACTGTACACCTGTTTGAATACTTAATTAGCTGGCATCCCAACAATCAGAAAGAAAAAGAACATCCAGTGACAAATGGAAAGATTTTAACGCAACCATTGTATCATCTATTCAGAAACTTGCTTCCGTTTGTATAGTCATCAAAAATACATGTAATGCAAGTCCTGAGGAATAATCTTAAAACCACAACACTGAGCAAATTATTTTCACACTGGCCTAGCATTAAAGAAAACCAGTATCGTTCTTTTTTCAGTGTAACACCACATTAGCATGACCATTCTCAATTTGCAAACAACAAATTTTCTTAGCAAGTTAAAAATTGTAAGATGCCAAATAAACATAACGATTACAAGTCTTTCACTACAGTGACTCTAAGAAGAAATATAAAGCATATTCGGGAATGAGTAAATCATAGAATCATAGAATACTTTGGGTTGGAAGGGACCTTTAAAGGCCATCAAATCAACAAAGTTCATATTCACAGACTTAAGGACTCTACCCATAACGTGAGTTGTTCCAGTAACAGTATTTTGGTCAATATACTGAATAATGCAATCTGACTAGTGAATGTTAAAAAATAAAAATAAATAAAAAAAATAATGAAAAAGCCCCACCACAACACTCCCCGCAAAAAACCTGCAAATTGACAAATATGGCAGCAAAGAATATAAAGATGTAACATTGAAACCAGAGCATCTTTGTGCTACAAAGTAAAAAAACAGGGTATATTTATTTTTCAATCATTTCCCTTTCTTGTGAACACATGAAGGCTTCATAAGCCCATGTATTAAGAATAATTTTAAAACTTTAAAGCTTATATAATGCAACTTACAAAGCGCACCACACTCTAAAATTCCAGAGTTACTATTTCCATCCCTTCCTATGCAAACAGAGGCACACGCATGTTTCTACAACATTCACATCTCTCCCTTGTCCTTCTGGGCTGTTGTTTACCAAGCAAGAGAAGGGCCAGGAAAACCAAGCCCGGCAACAAAAAAAGCGTAAGTCGCCTAAAAGAGAAGCATTGTTCTCCCGGGGGCCGACTGTTCCGAGAAGGATATTTAGAAAGTGAAGTGGGCCGGTCCCCGCCATTTGCATACCAATAACCCTCCTCCCCGCTCCCAAACGCTTTTCTCTCCCGCTGCTCGGAGCGAAAGGCTGGGCATGTGCCTGCAGACAGCACTCTTTGAGATCACAGGGACTGATTTACCACTCTCAGACTCGTTTTACATCAACAGAATTTCAATAAAATCTATCAAAGTGCAGTATGACGGAACCAGGACAAGGGCACAAGGAAGGCAGCCAGGGCCAAGCTGTCGGTCCGAGCCATGTCATGGAAACGGCAGCAGGTAAAAAGACACCTGATAAAAAGGAGTCAGGCAGAAAACTTACGACTTTTAGTTGCATGCTTGCTTTAGTCTTTTTTTTTTTTTTTTATCAAAATAAAGGAAAACTTTTTAGGAAAGCAAGCCTTTCAAGGAGCCTTTGTTCAATATTTTACTTGCAGATTTTCAATTTATGGAATAAATGTAAAATAGAGATGCTTACCAAACCTCAGTGACAGAACGACCATACGTTACAAGCAACGGTAACAGTACATATGTATTTACTATATAGGATGAATGCCTGTATATTCCATGCCTTAGAGATATTTTAACGGAAATGTCACTCTGTCAAATTGCAAATACTCGCACTCATAAGACTGCAAACGTATTAGGCAAAACTGGGCTTAATTTACAAGTTCTCTGTTGTGCAGAATAACGCAGCATATGCTATAGCTGATGGATAATCTATCACTGTCACGGGACAGCAGTGGAAACAAAGCTTTATGACATTTAGCACTGCCGCAGAGATGGACCCTGATTAATGCGAAATCACCTCCAGTGACGAATTATACTTCTTTCAAACTGCACCGTTATCTATGAGATTTGTACATACAAGCTTCAGACTCAAATTTTAACATTTTACGTAATTGGGTGATTTATAAAAACTGATTCAACGCTATCTCAAAAAGGGAAATTAAACTGAAAAACTCCTACAAATGTATCATTTACAAATACATATGTACAATCCATTAACAAAATAAAAATGTTATGAATTATATTAACATAAAAGAGGCCCTTCCGAACAGCTACAGGAAAGTCCTAGCACAGACACATAACTTTATAGTTTCTGCTTGTTTTGGTATCTTAACTATAGCTTGCAAAAACATAGCTGCAGCGTTATGAAGCTGCACTTGTGCCAGTCTAGATTTTTCAGATCAAAGGGTTCTTGCGGCAAAACACAACTGATGTGGTCTCAAAGACTTCATTAACTCCAGATGTGGGGAAACAGCCAGCCAATTCCACAAAAGGAGCAAGTCTCTTTTAGTTACAATCAGAACTACCCACAAATTAAAACCAGGCCTCTGATGTCATCTGATCACCTGCAGATGAGCACCAGGGTTTTTTTCTGGTTAATGACCTAATCATAATTTTTATGTTGTGTTACTACAAACAAAATTTAAAAGCAAAGGAGAAAATTTACTAAGAGTAACCTGAAGTCCATGAGATGTGAAATAGAAAGGTTTAAAATAAAAAAGTTGACTAAAAAAAGATGAAATTTTATTTTTAAGTCGGGAAGCAATGTATCCGGGCAACTGGTTTGTTCACTCTGAAAGCCCTGTGTGCACTAGGATCCCTATCCAGCAAAACGCAGCCTCCGCGGCTGCTAGCCGGCAGGAGGCTCGCAAGGCTGCGCAGCAGCTCCCCGGTCCGTGTCCTAGTTAAAGGGCTTTCTCTTCTGCAACAGCTGAGTAAGGCAGTTATCCATGTGACGCGGCTGCTCAAGACGGCCTCTTTTAGCTACTAAACTGATAACAGCAACATCCAGGAGGCATCAAACCAGTTTTTCCTGGCTGACATTCCCACTAAGACAAGGAACACTGTTAAAAGGTCAGCCTGTCTGCAGTCTCCTTGAAGAGGGTTGTCTCCAGCAGGTAGAAGAAGAGCCCACCTTTAATCCCCTTAAACGCACTGCGCCCGAAGGCATCGGATGTGTCTCCATGCTGACAAGCAAAACACTCTCCCGTTATGAATGGGAAATTCCCTCTCGATAAACACACGCCAAAACAATTTTTTTTTTAACATGACTTATCAAGTGGAGGACTCAACTCGTTTGGAGCTGTGCTAGAATATACATCAATCCTAATGCTGCACTGCTTCTGAAGGGTAGATGGCCTCCACAGAGGGAAGCAGGACAAATGAGTCGCAAAGGATATCAAGTCACAGACACACATCTGTCTCTTCCACACCCTGAACTGGTTTATGTTTCTCCAGTGGGAAAGGCAGGATGACAACTAAGATGTTTTTTGAGGGGCAGTGGTGGGAGCTGACTTCAGAACACAGTTGAGAAGAGATTATCTGTACTACATCAGGTTTAAGCGAAACGAATGCATCATCCAGTTCTGAGATCTGCCCTGGTGATTAACATACGTCATGAACACTATCATGAAAATTACACAGACCTAATATATCTAAAACACATCAAAGGATCATGCAGCGTGCTTCTGTTTACCAATACAAGTGCCCATAACACGACCATTAATTTAGAGACCTGGGTTTACCAAATTTTATGGTAAAAATTCCAAGTCTTGTTCTATAAATGCATTTAATAAATATAACATTTAGAGCCCTCCTGCTGGCATACTTCCTCTCAAGCAATCTTCCTGTAATCTGTTTCAAATTCTTAAATATTTATCAATATTTAATATTCATGTTAAAAGCAGATTAAAAAACAGCAACGAAGCAACCAAACCTTACTTCCGATGAGCTCATGCTATCTCAAGACCAAGGCTCCCGTCACACATACTGTTTATAGAATTATGAATTATGTTACTCATTTAAGCCTAGTTATTAACAATTCTTGGAAGTTCAGTAAAATGTTTATCAAGCTTTTTTGGAGACAGAATTTTTTGAAACCAGTAATCTGTTCTGTAGCTTGTAAACTCTGCTAAGTAGCCTATCTACATTCCATCAGCATCAGTCATGCACTAAGCAAGTGCGCACTGATGAATGATTTGTACATGTGGCAAAATTTTACAGTGTATTATCTGCAGGTTTTGTGGCAAAAGCTAATTCTGCTGAAGGGCAGCTCTAAGAAAAGGAAACTTGTTTTCATGTTTATATTTCTGACAAAGTCATGTACTAAAACTTCAGGAATGTAGAATAGTAACTACAGTTTTCCATGCTCCTCTTGACAGCAAGACAGAAGCTGCCAAAAAAAAAAAAAAATCACCAAACCATCCCAAATTCTTGTTTAGTTGATATTTAAGGAAGATGACAAAATTAAGAGCCCTAGTATACGAGATCAGTATATCATATCCTCAGTAATATCTTTTGTTTCCAATATCAGGTGTAAAGGTTCATACATTTTAAAAACTCTTCTCACCACCCAGAATGAAAATAAAACACTCCTTTAAGAGAACAGAACATCAGTCTTGTCAGCAAATCCAACTGTAATTTTTAAGGATGGTATAAAATTCAAACTCCTTGACGTAGCTAAACTGAATTCCATCTTAAATAAATGTTTATGCAGTTTAGGCATGCTATACATGCCTATTTGGATATTTCTGAAATGCAGAGTCCCACTGCAATAGTA